GCCGCTGCGTCAGCAGCTGGTCCGGGAAGTGGCAGTAAAAGAGCACGCGCAGGCCAGCCCAGCGCAGCAGCGGCACACACGCCGACACCTGGTCGCAGAAGACAAGGTCGGGCGGCGGCCCCGGGCGCCAGCAGCAGGCACAGCGCCGCGTACACCATGCGCAGGTAGACGCAGAAGGCGCGCAGACGGCCCGCACACGCTGCCAGGCAGCCAGCCGCCGCACACGCGCACCGGCAGCCTGTCCAGTGTCTCGGGGAAGCAGTGGCGCCGGTCGTGGTGCGCCGTGACGTAGGAGACGTGGTGGCCGCGGCGCTGCAGCGCCAGGCCGGCGTCCACTACCAGACGCTCGGCGCCGCCGATGCCCAGATCCGGGTGCAGGAACACCACCCGCATCGCAGCTGCCTGCCTGCGGACGACAGCAGCCATCAGTGTGCTCCAGAGTGAGGTCTGGGTGGTCGAGGCCTGCATTAACCACACAACTTTGATACTTGCACATGCTGGGTGCATGCTGCAGTACATAAGACTGCTGAGGCATGCACAGCTTGAAATGTTAATCCTCATTCTGCCAAGCCTCCTTTCACAACTTGGATAGTGGGATGTGACCACCTGTTATTTCCATACTAAGAACTATTGGGCCTTTGAAAAAAAACAACAGGAATGAACTGGGCCCAATGAGATCTTGCTGATATGGGTAAGTGCCTAGGCCAGTATTTTGTATTACATGTTTTATTTCATCCCTCTGAACCAATAATTGAAACCTCTGCCATTTCCAAAGACAATCCTTCAAACATCAAATGTTTTCAGTTTGCATGCTTGCATTTGCCAAACTATCCCACAGTGACATGAAACTTACACAGACATGTTACTTAATTTTGAGCACACTGATGCCTAATTTTGTGCCTTTCAAGCATACACTTTAATGCAGAACATGGCCTTTTTGCCTTTTCTATACTGTGATGCCTGCCAACCTGCAGGTTATTCAGGAAGTAGCACACCATCAAACTAGACACCCATTCTGCAACACATGCAAGGGACTCACCAGATGGCAACTGGCCATACACCACATGCAGCCCTGGGAGCTAGCACAAGGGCATGCAGCCTGCGGCAACAAGATCATCCACGACCACATGCACCAAGCAACCACTATGCGAGCCACTACCACATGTGACACCAACAGTACATGCACAATCACAAAGGCATGCACATGCAACACATCACAATATATAACTCTTGATTATTTTGGAGCATCACATTTATCGCATAAATGATGCTGCCAACAGCTCACCAAGTGATTTTCAAGCAGACTAGTATGGTCAAAATAGAATAGGCAGGTACTTAAAAAATATACAGAAGTTTTGCACATCCCTGGGTACAAATTAGACAGGCAATTTGTTAATGACTTGGACTGGAACATTCAGCAACCCCTACAGCATCCGCGATCTGAAGTGGCAGTAATGGCACTTGTATTGTACGTTCAGGATCATATCTATTTTATTGAGTGGGGGCCGCGTGAACAGGAAAGGTCAGTAATGCCTGAAGCTGAATGGATCACAACATTCCTACATGGACCAGGAAGAGCACGACATTAAGGGAGAGCAGGGCAAGAACTTAAATGATCGTTTGTTTAAACAGACCCTGCTTGCTCGATTGATGGCCGGGCAGCTTCTTGCCTGCTCGCTGGGCCACGCACTTGACGAACTCAGCGCAATGACAGAATTTGGGAACACGAAATGGATATGGAAGCTCCTGTGCGCCGGCCAAGCGGTGACGTTTCCAGCGCATTAGGGCGTGAGGCCCGTAACACGCTGTAACAAGGCGATACAACAAATAATAGCATATCATTGCTTCAAACGTTGGAGCGGTTCGGCAGTGGGTGGTACTTCGTGAAACCTGAACACATAGGCAAGTGGAAAACAACGCGAGGAGTGCAATTTATGCCCCAGGCGTTGTTGGCATGCTGTTTAAAACCTTCATGCTTCCGATGTGGTTTGCGAGATCCAGCGTCCAGGGGTGATTGACGAGCTGGCGATCAGTCTGGGCGGGGATGGGCTGCCCTGGAGGCTTAAATTAACCATGGCTATCCACGGTCACTCAATTTGTTTTGCTGTAAAGATCCTTTGTTCAGAGTATTGACAGTGTTTCCTGGTTTAATGGTCCTCTGTGTGACATATATTTTTGTAGGTGTTAACTGACACTGACAAGTAAAGTAAAGTCTTCTAAAATGAGGTATTTCACTGGAATGTAGCCAGTCTAATCCTTCATGAAATGCCAGCATGAAACATGAACTTAGTGCCATTGTCTTTTCTATAACCTTCATCTGTCCTTTTTCATTGTGACATTGCTGCTATTAAGTTGTGTCTGCTAGGCTCTGCTACTTTTATGTGGTTTTTGCTATACCAGCAGTCATGGTGTATTCTACATATTGACATACATGTGCAGTTACAGATCCAGACAACTATAAGGCCTATGATGAGAGACAGGCAATGCCATATAGCCTGAGCAGAGGAGTGTCTTAAAGCCCTAATGACATTACATGATGATATGGTGTATGGAGTTTGATTTTTTGGCATATGATAGTTTCAATATTCAAGAGGGATTTCAAACCATTCCTCAACTGTCTGCTATGTGTGTTCTCAAAAATGCCAGTGAATAAAATGCAACATATGATTAAGTGTAGGTCTGTTTTTGGACATGTTTATGAGGAAACCATGAAAATTGATCAACAGTTGAATGCTGGTCACCCTAAAGGTCCAGGAAATATATTTCTGGCAAGTTAGAAGGGCACCAGTCCTTGCTCCTGAACTCCCATGTCCCTTTAAGCTAATCTACACTAACCCAACATGCAATAACCTGACTGCCACTGGCCCAGCCCAATTAATCTCAGATCAGCTCAGGGCAATCCAACACAGTATAGTTGATCTCAGTTCAGCTCAGGCCGATCCAACCTGGTCCAATTCCATCAGGAAGCAGTAAATACCATACTACTTAATAGGGGCTTTGGATGTCTTGCCAAAACTGTGCTGGATGTGCCCTTTCAGTTCAATGACTACAAAATAACAAACTAAAGAACTGGGACTGCAATAAAAGATATCCTTACAGCAGTTGCCAACATTATGTGACTTTAATATTTTTGCTGGGTCCACAGGTAACAGAAGAATCAATGGTGAATGCCCATTCAAACTTGCATAATACATTAAACTTATGTTGCATGACAAGATTTTCAATTGCTAGATTTCTGGGGTCATAGCCCATGCTAAGTAGTGTGGTGCTGCCTAAGCCCAGACCTATCCAATAATAATACATTTCCTGGTCATCAGCAAAGTTTTGTGAAAAGAGCTAAATGTGCTGCAATATTTGGTGCCTTGTCCTGCCCTCTGAATTCTCCTGACTTCTAGCTCAGCTGCTGCCACTGACTGATCACCATCTCAGTCTGATTGACAATGATGAGTACACTCAGTATGTTGAGTATATATGTAACTGTACTCAGATCTACCCTGCTCATAAGGATTGGCACAGTGGCTTTTAAGTGAATATATAACTGACCTGCTTTCTTCTGGACATATGGAGCCATGTAGCAGGGGAGGGGTGTATAGAGAGTTGGAGATATACAGCAATACACAGAAGGGGATTTGCCGCCCTCTGACATCATCTGAACTCCAGTGTGGCTGAAGTCACCAGTTAAAGGGCTGTCACAGTCAAGGGCAACTAGCAAGCAGCCAGAGGGCCTGAAATTGAAGAGAAAGCACATAAATATCAGGAGGCAGGCACTCTAACCACCTGGCTATTACAATGGAGCCACTGGAATGACTAATGGGGTGAAAGTGGGTGATAATTGAAACTACAGTAATGATGACAATGTTTAATTTCAATATATGGTTTCCAAAACCTATGATCAATGACTACCAGCCTAGGCTCCTGATTAGCATTTTAGGATTCCATGTTCAGAGACAGTAGCTGGCAGGGTATAGAAGTATTGACATCAAGGGATATTGTTATGGACTGATGTTCTTTGGTGTAGTCTGGAACAATGACAAGTTCAGAACTAAGGCAACATTGTCGACGGGGGTCGTTTCTCATGCATGCCAGTTGTCTTGCTGCATGATAGATGTTCTTAAAGACACCACTGCGTGCTGCAGTGCTGTCTGGCTCCACCATCAGCCAAACCAATATTTGTCATACAAAAATGTTCCGCCAGCATTCAAGGATAACACCATCAGCTGGGTGGCAGAGTGACCTGGGACCTGGCTATTCTCTGCAGCAGGTCTCGATGAAAAGATTATTAAGCTTTGTAAATTTGATGCTAGAAACCAACCATTGATAATTTTAGAACCATGCCATGCAGCAGGGAAGAGGAGGAGAACAAGGAAGGAGGGAGGTGTGATTGCCTCAATATGGTTTCAGGTTGGTGGCTGCTGCTGACTGCCAACAGAGAATGATGATGTAAGGAAATCCTCCTCATGACCACTTTCTTCATTCTTTACAGAGGAAAGATGTCCCACCAAACAGGGATTGTAGCCAACCAGGAGTTGATGACATTTTTTGGCAGCTGCAGAAATGGAAGTGTCAGGGGCCATCAAAATATCCATTGAAGATGGTAAGCAAAAGAAACATGGATGCATTAAATGTTCATGGATCAGGTGATTCCTGTAAGTGGATGAACATTGGATGACTTCTTGCACAACTCTCCTACACCACCAAGTAATCACAACAACCATGTACAACTTGTGTGCTGAGTTTTGTGTAAAGACCACACTCATCACTAGCATTTTCACAGCCACTGGCATCTTGATGCTTGAGAGGCATAAAGCTACTTTGGAAAGCAGTCTCATCATCAGACACAAGGATAATGTCTTGAGACACATTGCACCATTGTGCAAAAAAGTGAGCTGCTGTTTGCATTTTCATGTGTGTATGCTGAAGTGGTGTAACTCCATCATTGTTCTTGCAGAGCAGTTAAGCCTCCACACCCATGTGCCCTGCTGAGTCTATCTACCTGGGAACTGACTGGGACAGCACAGTTCCAGATCTCACAGATGACAAGCAGCCGACATACATCCTGTATAGGTCTGTTTATCAATGGCTAGACCTGCAAAAGTGTTTTGTAGATAACAGGAGTTGCCGGCCAAACAACACTATCCATGAAATGTTCAATTCAAATGCTATATTGTAACAAGTCAGCACAGGGGCATGCTTTCACAACATGAGTGGGGGGGGGGGGGGGGGGGGGGGGGGGGGGGGGGGGGGGGGGGGGGGGGGGGGGGGGGGGGGGGTGGGAGGGGGGGGGGGGGGGCGGGGGGGGGGGGGGGGGGGGGGGGGGGGGGGGGGGGTGGGAGGGGGGGGGGGGGGGAGAGACAAGCAAAAAAATAATAAAACCCTGGCCCTCAAAATATGCCCAAAAATGGCTTTTTCCTGATTTGCTCCATTGGCCATTTTCTTCCTGAAGTGCAGGGAAAGCTGGAGCATAAATATAGCCTCCACCCCACTTTGAACCCTGACTGAAAAGTAAATGACACCCCTGAATCATCATTTCAAGTGGCGTTTGTGTTGCATAAATAGCTTGACACATTGAACATTGGCATGGCAGGTTGAGTGTTGCTATGATGCATGGGCATAGCCTGAAACTTGTGGAATGGGTAGTGTTACCCATGTTTGCTAGTTGTTAAACCAGAACCTCCCAGCTTTTTGAAACTGGATATATGGAGCTGTCATTGTCAGAATTTGTAACTCATGATACTGCAAAATGAGAAGCTCAAGTCCATTCATTGCCATTTCTATTCAACCTTGTTAACCATGCATCTTGTCATGGGGACAGTATTGCCCATTACAGGGCTGTGATGGTGGGCTGTGATGTTACAGCACTCACTGATGTGCAAAAGCATTAACATATGGTTGTAGCTGAAGTGACTTCAAGTGTACATAGCACATGCCCACATAAAGGTAACATAAATGGCACTGTTGCAGGCTAGACTCCAAGAATTCAATGGGCTTTGAGTGGCTGCTGATCACATGGTCACCGGATGACTCGCCAGTCAGGCAGAAGATGCTGTATGCCTCTACAAAGGCCACACTCAAGAAGGAATTTGGTGGGGCCCAGATCAAGGATGAAGTCTTCGGCACAACAAAGGTGATTTTTGCCTTTAGTTGTTAACACGCGCTCGCGGCGTCAGTTTAGCCTCCCTCGAAGGCTTTTGCCTTAAGTTGTTAACACTCGCTCGCGGCGTCAGTTTAGCCTCCCTCGAAGGTTTTTGCCTTTAATTGTTAACACGCGCTCGCGGCGTCAGTTTAGCCTCCTTCGAAGGTTTTTGCCTTTAGTTGTTAACACGTGCTCGCGGCGTCAGTTTAGCCTCCCTCGAAGGTTTTTGCCTTTAGTTAACACGCGCTCGCGGCGTCAGTTTAGCCTCCCTCGAAGGTTTTTGCCTTTAGTTGTTAGCACGCGCTCGCGGCGTTAGTTTAGCCTCCCTCGGAGGTTTTTCCGGCGTGATTTCCGAACAGCGCGGCGCGGTCGCGCCATATTCCTGAAGATAATTGAATAATGGATCGTTTGATATCCAAAATTCACATGTACCTCGTAAGGTTGCTGACCTATGGCAGGCCAAGGTCAGGCCATGAATGCAGTGAAGACGATTTCTAGGGAATTCTTCAAGCTGATGCAACAACAGAGTGTTAGATGAAGCCATACATCTGTGAGATAGTTTCTTAGGGAACACACAAATTGCATGAACAAGTTCCATTGACATAGGATCAGGTATGAAGTTCAGACCAAGGGTCAAAACCAACCTGTTTTGTTACTCTAGGGCGTGCTGTGCGGAATGGTTTCCGACTTAGTTTCTGGTACTCATTTCAAATGTGATTGATAACAGGAACCATATCATACATCTTCCATAGACTTCTTAAATCTCAGGATAGGTCACTGACCTAAAATGACTCAGGTAAACCTTTTTGTTTTTGTGAACGTAGGCTTCAAACTTTGATGCTTCTGTTCAAATGCAAGACTCAAAGAAGCCTTGTAGGATTCTGATTGCCATGACCTCTGACAGGTCAAAAAGATCCCTGACCTTAAATAAGCACCAATAATCTTTTGCTTAAAACAGGTGTCTAGGTTCTGGGACACTTCTGGGTTCTGGGGCACTTTGGACGCCAATCTGAAGTTTGGCCTCGCTATTGTGACACGCTGTTGTAACACGGTGTTGTGACACGCTGTTGTGACACGGTGTTGTGACATGGTGCTGTCAGGAGGACGTGACGCTGACCGGCTACCGGCGCCATCTGCGTGCCCAGAAGGCGCCCGCCCCTCGCTCCATGGCCGAGGAGGAGAGGGATGAGATCAAGAGGGCAGAGGTGAGGTTCGAAACTGAGCGCCGGCAGCCTGGAAGGAGCGCCCTAGTTAGGATAGCGAGTCCACAGGTGTTCTGATGCTGTCCTGTCATTTGCAACAGGTTTTCCCGCCCATGAATGGGCGCAGGAATGACTCAACGTTACGTTCAAACGTCCAGATGCTTCGAAAATCAGTATGGCTAAAGGAGGGGCTGAGGTGCTGCGGGTCTGCCTGGCCGTGTACCCTGCGCGCCTGGCCGCCAGAAGGCGTATACTGAGACGGCGGGATGTCGCTCCGTTCTTTGTCTCGTTGCTCCGTTCTCCGCCCCTTGCCGTGTACCCTGCGCGCCTGGCCGCCAGAAGGCGTACACTGAGACGGCGGGATGTCGCTCCGTTCTTTGTCTCGTTGCTCCGTTCTCCGCCCGTGCACCGTGTCCACATACGGTGCCACCTTGCGGACAGGTGGGGGTGGACGTGTCGGTGGACACCAAGCAGCAGACGATGGGCAGCGTGTCCTTCCCGATCAGCCGCGAGGCGCTGGACGAGGTGGCCGGTCTGTCCCAGGGCAGGGTGAACTACGTACAGCTGAGCATAGGTCAGTTCCGGGGCGCCGGGTCACGGGCGCTCCCTTCGACATGAGCCTGGCTCCCATTATGGTGGTGCAGCCTAGTGCCAGCACCTAACTTCAGCAAGTCTTTTGTGCTGAGATATCATCCTTTTGTTGAACTGACCAAACCTTCGCCAAGAAACAACGATGAATTGAATTCTGTAGCAGAATACACATGAAGGACCCCATTTCCAATTCGCAGTGTCATTGCAACATCACAGTACAACTCCCATCAATATTGGATGCGTGTCGCTTCCGGCGGACGCCTCCGGCTGAAACGAGCGCGGCCAAGTGGCCCGTTGGGACAGGCACTGTGCAGATTTTGCCCACCGGATGTACCGCTGTGTAGCAGGCAGTCTGTCCCCGGCCATCTGACCGCCCTCCCCCCCCCCCCTCCCCCGGATGAAGGAAACGCGCTCTGGTGGTGGGCGGGGCGTGTTGTGGAGCGCGGCCCACTCCGTATGACGCCGTCCGTCGTCTTCGGCGCCGGCCAGCGACCTGTGACCGGGCTGACGACCCCTCGTGTGAGCCGCCTGGTGACCTGTGACCGGGCTGACGACCCCTCGTGTGAGCCGCCTGGTGACCTGTGACCGGGCTGACGACCCCCCCCCCCCGTGTGGGCCGCCTGGCTGTCAGCCCCTGTCGAGAGCGGTTCACCGCAGTCCCGACAGGGCCGGGCGCGTGTGACCGGGCTCCGGCGCGCTTGCCGCAGACTTGGACAAGGAGACCATTAACCTGGCGGCGGCCGACACCACGCCGGCGGCGGCGCTCGCACGGCACGTGCCCACCGACCACGCGCGCTATCACCTGTACGTGTTCAGCCACCAGTACGAGGGTGACCAGTTCCACAGTCTCGGTGAGTGGGTGCTGGCCACTGTGCGGGACCGGCGTCGTCATGGAGTTGCCAGGTTTGAACACAGAACTCGCCGGCGATACGAGCCGGCCGCATAGGCTCTGAGGCCATACATGCTATCCTATTTGCACAACGGTGCAAGCTGCGGCGGTGTAGATCACCCCGAGTTGCCGTCTATGCTGATCGATTCGTCTCAGCTTAAAGAGCAAGGTATGCCTTGTTAAATCTGATGTCGAGACATCTGAGTGGAAATTTATACTTTTAAAGCGATGTTGTGAAAGTAAATCTTGCTCACTGAAAAAATGTCATTTAGTTTTAGTGGCGGAGACGCGACATCTCCTGCTTTTTCGTGTTCGTCTCGTGGTCTTTACGTTGCGATGCTTTTGAAATCTTAAGCTTGCGTATGGGCACTATGGGGCTTTGGTACCCGCGTTGTAGCCGGACATAAAGCCACCGTGTGATGTGACGTTTGGACAAAAGTGCTGGGGTTTGCCGCATTCTTCATTGAAATTTTCTGAAAAAGCCGTCATTCGTGATTTTTCCCTCAAGTTGACAAGCACAAAGCTAGAAATATGTTTGGTAGGCTCAACCTGCTGCCCGCGAGAGCTGCGCTTGAACTGCGCGGAATTTTAGAGGACGCGGGCGCCGGTGCCTGACGCAGTGTGTATTGGACTGGCGCCTGTAAGGCCCGCTATATGCCAAAGGAAGACCACCACAGCTCTGTCGTGGGCGCCGAGCAGCCACTCCGTACGCGAGGGGGTGGGGGAGGAATGCCGACTGTGTGCTGGACGGACGGCGGTGGTCGGCCTGAGGCGGACGGCGGCGGTCGGCCTGAGGCGGACGGCCGCGGTCGGCCTGAGGCGGACGGCCGCGGTCGGCCTGAGGCGGACGGCGGCGGTCGGCCTGAGGCGGACGGCCGCCGTCGGCCTGAGGCGGACGGCCGCGGTCGGCCTGAGACGGACGCGTGCCGACCTGTGTGCCGCCCCGCCAGTGTTCATCTACTCCATGCCCGGCTACAACTGCTCCATCCGGGAGCGCATGCTGTACTCCAGCTGCAAGTCCTCAGTCATCGACGTCATAGAGAACCAGTGCCAGCTGAGCATCACCAAAAAGGTGGGCGGGATCGGTCCACCTGGACGTTGCCATGGTCTCCCTGTAAGTGACCAGAGCTGTGAACCGGCCGCCGTGATGTCATGTGCCTGTCCTGTGTTCGGCTGGTGGGCGCTGTCTTCGGCTCACGCGCCCTGTCCAGGCTGGACAGTGTGAGGTAGACACGGCTGACCAGTCCGGATCGGTAGGCTCCCAAGTACTGTGTCCCCCCACGCAGCGGGGTAACAGCCACGCCAGCGCCTCCTGAAATAGACAGTGGCGCGTTTATGGCCGCATTGGGACGACCCGCCGCCGGCGCACCTGCTGGCCGTATGCCTTAGTCTGGCGTCTGCGACTGGACCCTTCCGTTTGATCGGCAGATCGAGGTGGATGACCCCAGCGAGCTGACCGAGCAGTTCCTGATGGACGAGATCCACCCCAAAAAGATGCTGCATCGGCCCAAGTTCGCCAAGCCCAAGGGCCCGGCCAGCCGCGGCGCCAAGCGGCTGACCAAGCCCGGTCCGGCCGACTCGTAGCCGCCTGACGGCCAGGCCCGTCAGCGTCAGGTGCGTGCCGTCCGGCGGGCGCCGGGTGAGGCCGCCTCCGCCGACGGCGGCCGCAGCGCATTGTTTTGTATTTGTACGGCGGCGGGCGCCGGAGGCTGCGCGCGCTCGCATTATGTCGGTCCGCTTCAAGCGTGACTTCCATGTACGGTCGATGCGTGCGACGCACGCCGCTGGGCGCCGCGCGTGACGCAGCGTCACCAGCGGCACGGAGGCCCGCGTGGCCGGCGGCGCGCTGACAGGTCGCGGCCACGCTTTCTAGACGAATTCAAACTGTGATTTTTCATAAACTGTGACCGGTAGGCCCTATTGTAGAACACGGTAGGCCCTATCGTGGAACACGTTAGGTTCTATTGTAGAACACGTGGATCCTAGATGTGGGGTCATCTGAGGCTTTTCTCGACGATCGACCAGGCATTTTCATGCACCGTTCCCGTAAGGACTTGGCTCGGGTTGGAGGGCTCGGTGAATACGACAAAATGTCAGGAAAATTACCACAAGCCCGGCAAGCGGTGGTGACACGACTATGGCGTGGCAGCCGTTTTTTGCACCTGGTGATGTATTTTAGGGAGTAGGAACTGTATCATGTGTTAAGCTTAACCGAAAGGGAAGAGGCGGTGGTGGCGATAAAATGGCCTCAAAATTGTAATCCTTATTCGTTTGCAGTCAGAGAAACCGTGTGGCGACAAAGTATATGCCGAATACATGTGTTTATATTGTTCTAATTCGGTGAAATGAGGAAGTTTGGCCCCCTTACAGCATATATTAATCCGCTTTGTGGATGTATATTACCCACTGTATGTGCACCAAAGATTACCGCCAGGAAATGAAACGGTGTTATGTACAAGAAAGACCCTGTAGCGCCCGTGTCCCCGAAAATTGATGCTTCATCCCTTGTCTGTTGGAGACTTAATATCGTGTGTTGTGCTAACGGGACTGTTCCAGGTTCATGATCGCTTCAGGTCACGGACACCCCTTATAAGATGACGTTAGACACGTCCGCCTCTCAAACTGCGTTCTTGGTCAGCTTGTTGTCTGATCCAATGCAAGACCGCTCATTCATTGTCAGGTCGTTTCGCCCAGATGCGACAGCGCACGTCCTTCACATCACGTGTGGAGGAGCTTGCGGACAATGGCAACGTGCAGTGTGATCACATATAGCTCCCAGTAATAACCATGAATCACGGTTTTGAAAACACCAATGTTTTTGTTAACAGAATGGCTGTGGCCAAACTTGATCATGTGCATAATTGGGCGGTGCTAGTGCCGTGTCCAACCGTTGCAAGCCTGCGATCAAACCGCTACCTTACATACTGCCAGTGTAAAACCCAATACACATTGTACGTTTCGCCGGCGTCTCGGACCACGTTCCACTGATTTGGGCAGCTCCGTTTGCCAGTCAGTGAAATGTGCGAACGGAGAAAGGGAAGAATGAACATGCAGTACTGTGTGGCCCCCGTCGAATGACAATACAAACGGTCTAGGAGGCACAATACGCATATTCATTACAGACAAGCACACTAAACAAAATAAGCACCGAGCATGACGTCGATAAAAAGGCCGTTAACTGCCGACCGCAAGCTCAGCAGCTGATGGCGCCATCACCAGGGCCACGAGAGACGGGCCTCGACGGGTAAGGCGGTGCGGGCGGCGTGAGTACCACATTGGACAGGAGCGCCGCCCGCCGATAACCGCTCCGCCCCGCTTCCGTCACTGGCCCGCGCCCACCTCACAACACGTGCCTGAGCGCACCTCACAACACGTGCCTGAGCGCACTTCACAACACGTGCCTGAGCGCACCTCACAACACGTGCCTTAGCGCACCTCACAACACGTGCCTGAGCGCACCTCACAACACGGGCCTGAGCGCGCACACTTCAGCACATCGTCCATGCCCGTCTGATGGAACAGAAACACGGAGACCATCATACCGTAGCCAGTTGTCAGCAGCCTCAGCAGCCTCAGCAGCAGCCTCGTGCACAAAACGGTACCTACAGAATGATTGGATGTCACTGGTGAGCTGCATCGCAGCTATATGCAGCCAGCGGTGACGTGCCCTCCGGCAGCCGGTCACCGGCCAGCGGTGGAGTGTCCTCCGGCAGCCGGCCACCGGCCAGCGGTGGCGTGCCCTCCGGCAGCCGGCCACCAGCCAGCGGTGGCGTGTCTTCCGGCAGCCGGCCACCGGCCAGCGGTGGCGTGCCCTCCGGCAGCCGGCCACCGGCCAGCGGAGCCGGCTACACCGGACGGCTCAGTCGAAGCTGGGAATGTCCTCGAATGAGTAGCCGTCGTAGCCGATGTAGGCCAGGTATGCCATACGCACGTGATAGGCGCCCGGCACGAACATGATGAGGCCCAGCACGATCAGGGGCCAGGTGCGGTCGGCGTACTGCGGAAACATATGGCGTCACTGTACCTGGGTGGCCCGCACACGTACGGAACACCGGCTGCGACAACCCCACAGGCCGCTAATATAAAAACACGCGGTGTTCGGCGCACATATGGACAGCACTAACAGTTCGCTGATCATCAGGGCGGGGGAAGCGGCGACCAACCGCAGCTGCGTGTCCGCGAACGGATGCTCACGGTCAGTGGACCGTGAACAGCCCGTCCGCCGACGTCACGGACGGGGTTGAGTCCCGACCCCCGCCCGCTTACCCGCTCGTCGAAAAAGCCGGATACAAGCAAGCTGCCCATGACGAGCAGTGTGGTGCCGCCGGCGAACAAGAATGACGCCAGGAAGATGCTTTTCCACGGGATCGGCTTCCGCACTGTCTGAAACTACGCCGGCCAGCGTCCGTGAGACGGACGACGCACAGCTCGAACGGCCAGCGGGACACGGCTCGAACGGCCAGCGGGACACGGCTCGAACGGCCAGCGGAACGCAGGTCGAATGGCCAGCAGGCCACAGCTCGAACGGCCAGCGGAGCACGACCGGTGGGCCTCCATGCCGAACAGTGGCTGAACGACCTCGACATAGCTGAGCCATAACTACCCATAGCAGACAGCACAGTGTTCTCACGCCGTTCCCGATGTGGTTCCATTTCTTATAGCCGCAACGAGTCTTTTTGGGACAAAGTGTACCGCAAACCAGACCGCTGGGCCAGCGGACCATAACTCGCTGTTCCAACCTGCTCGTCGCAGAACTGCCCGTCGCCGACGGCCGTCAGCCGGTGGTACTGGGCCGCGTGTTCAGGCGCTGGACCACTGGCATTCCGACGGCGCATCTGAGACGGACCAGCGTAAGGCGACCAGCTGTCTGCAGAGGGGCTCAATCACAATGACCTCATGGAAATGATTGTCATAAACACACACAGTATTGTTTGCTAGTAGCACAGTTCTTATGTGCATCATCACTTTTCTACTGGGTCATTGTCAGGGGAAAGGACTGCCAATTAATGACTGTGCTGCATAACTCCATGCCAGTGCTGGTGAAAAGGTCCTCATGTCAGTTATGGTTGGCACTGGCACTGAAGAAAAACAGAAGGGAGTCTCCTTAGCCTCCTTAAAGACTCATTAGGACTCTGAAGAATGTCATTTGCCCATCAGATCAGTTCACAGCTTGGGCATGAATTACCTAGTGCATGGAATTGTGGGTAGTCCATGGTTCAAGGTACTCAAGTTATCCTGACTGAAAAAAGGTCACTGATAAAGAACAGAAACCTATTTGTGAAAACAAAATATCCACTTACCATTCACCAGAAAGTTACTGGATTAATAGCATAGTTCATATCTCACCATAGCTATGCTCCTAAGCTGGACATGCATGGACAGAAGGCAAAATGTCACTCATTTTGTGTGGCTGTACTATAGAATTGATACTGGTTCCACCTTCAAATAAGAATCAAAACTGATCCTGCATAGATTTGCTGGCTGTCAAGCATAGCAATTTAGCATTTTCATGTGCATCACTTCTGATTCCTGGAAAGTGTACTTTTTCATGTTTTATCACCTGGCAAAAGTTTCAAAAAATGCTGATTACATGACAGTTATGAAAGAGTGCAGGGGCACAATTCCAATTAATAAATTTGGGTGCCTGGACAGTGAAAGATGACAAGCTGGCCATAAAATACATCAGGAAATATGTCTCCCTAAGTTTTGCCCACTTTCTTCACAAGTTTAGAGGTCTGGAGTTGTTGGAGCTTAAGTGAGGGGTGGAGGCTGGTAACATCAGGTACCAATGTGTACCGTAACCTCTCTCAGCATTTGCTGATGCTAACCACTGCCCTATGCCAAGTGCAGCGTAACTGAATATCACGTGGGCTATCACTTAACATCGGGCTCAGCCGGCCAATGCTTGTTTGCGGTCGCAATGTTGGGAATTTCGTGGTATTTGCAGTACTTTACTTGCACAGGTAATGGCTATTTATGAAACGGCAACTTCATACAGTTACGCTTCTATGCACGCCCAACACTTACAGTGGAATGAAGTTTGATGTATCTTACACCGCACTTCAATCCCACCGCCACCCCACCTTAATCATTGATCGCAACGAAATGTTAGGAGCAAGGCGAAGAACAGGCATGAAGTGCATGCGATTTCGAAGGCACTTTCAACACTACCATTATTTGTCGCTGTTGCGGCGACTTTATGGATATGGCAGCTTCTATTGCCCGCGACACCAGAGGAAAATGGTGGGCCAAAACTGCTACGAGTAAAGGGCTTCATTGTGCGACAATGAGCATCCATTTCACGCCGTGGTCATTTCATACCGTGGTCGCATGGGTGTAGGAACAGGGAGGGGGGAGCAGGTGGCCATGCCCCCACTTTTCAAGGTGGGGGGGGGGGGAAGTGTTAACTGGCTGGCCCACTTTTCAGATTAAAGCTGTCTTTGGCTTACTTTTGCACTACATCAGGGGCGGATCCGGAGGGGAAGGGGGCACGGGGTCATGGCCCCCTTTGGGCCCCGAAGGAGCCCATTGGTTCCGAGGGGGCCATCGCTGGCGGAACAGGTGCAGCTTTTTAAACACAAAACACAACAAAATTGGGTATCTCTGCACTTCCATGCGACCAAGAACAAATCTAAGCGAAAGTAAAGGCCGTATGAGAAGAAGGAAAATAGCTATTCACTGATTGGTAAAAGTTGTAAATTGGAAATCTTAAGCTTCATTACACTGTCTAGAGGCCCATGCCCTTTCCGGGAGACCCATATGCCCCCTTGTAGGATCATTTCAATCGTAAAGGAGCATTCCACATTGCCGTTCATTTCTTTGCATTTGCTCGGAGGGCACTGCGCTGTTGTTGGAGCCCTTCCTATGAACGTGCCGGGGCACTCTTGTCAATCGCGGGCCCTTCCACGGATTCTTTCCATTCGCCAGAAGGGCTCCGTGAGGTATAGCCGGGTCCCATATCTTAACCTGCCGGGGTATTCTCGGTTGCTCAGGGGTCCTTTTCGTGGATCTCGGTCAACCTGCCGACACACCTGCGATATTCTCATTGCTCGTCATTGGGACTTTTACGACGTAATTAGCTGCTGATGCTATATGGCATCGCCTGCCTCTCACCCTGGCAGGAAGGGCACGGCACCGGGAGGATTCGAACCCCGTACCTCTGGTCTCCCGGACGCGCAATGGTCAAAGCAGACGCTTTAACCACTAAACTTCCGGCACCCCTCCTATCGGGGTTCGTGTTGCTAACCTGCCCGTGCACTCTTGATCTCACAGGGGTACTCATTTATGGTCTTGACTGATTCCCCTTTGCTCGGAGGGTCTTGTGCTATGACCAGGGCCTTATGTGTCAGCCTGCCGGGATACTACCTATCGTTTAGGGGCCACCACGTTGGTCTTGCGTTCCTTTTGCTTGCTCTGAGGGCCCTATACTTGTTGACGAGAGCCACTTTGTTGGCATCCTGCGGCACCCATGATCGCTCAGGTTCCGTCCCTGTTAGCATTGGTGCCTTCGCCTTAGAGCAGCAGTCGAATATGCGCCGATAAATTATTTACGCGCGATTGCCGAACGTAGTTTTACATGCCGCCGACGTCGTATGTGTCATTTCCATTGGCTGTTTAGTGTGTGCCACTCACTTTACTAGCGCATCATGTTATTAACATATTTTAAATGTTTTAACACGTTGTACTCCTAAAAACAAGGGATAAATGCTGCATTAGTCATGAGCCATTAGCTGATTACATCACCCAGCCGGCTAGCCATAAAAACGTAAGCTAGAAATCAAGCCCATGCTTGGTTTTGATGGTTGTTAGCAGCCAACTCAAGTTTGTTTTGCCTGCTGTTCCGAAACACTTGCCTCAGAATCACAGCATTTGAAATAATCTGTAGAACATGAATGAGCTCTATGTGTATGCATGCGTGGCACGCCTACGCTTTATAGGGCTGTGCACAGTAAGACGGGTTTCCGTATTTAGTAAATAAATGGGGAAGTAAATATAAACTTATATCAGTATATATATATATATATATATATATATATATATATATATATATATATATACATATTGATGTGTATATTACATACGACTTGTCTTGAAATGTTATGACCGAAATGCAAGGCTATTTTTGGGAGTGGACACCAAACTCCAGTTGGCCCTCACAATGTCTCGTGCCCCCCCCCCCCCCTCCCCTCGTTGTCGAAGTCCTTGATCCTCCCGTGACCGTACAGGTAAAATATGCACCCGGACTATCTTCTGAACGTGCAGGTTGATGTTCTAAAGCGTTCAAACAAAGCGTTTTTGTCGGAAGCGTCATCATTTTCGTCTACCCACCGGCCGTCGCCTGGTGTAAGCTGCGGGGCCGGCGCCGCGCAGGCTGTCCGGCAGGGTGCAGCGCAGGGGGTCGGTTGATGTCTTAGAGTCGCCAGCGCGAAGTTCAAAACTATGTTATATAGATTTTGCCACTTGATTTGGAATGAGGCCCAGCATACCCAGACTAGCATGATTTGGCCATACTAACACAAACTGGTGGCCCCACTTCTGTCTACGATATACTTTCCCGAAGTCGTGAATAACTCAGCAGTCAAGAAAAAAATCATAGCAAAGTTCCTGAGCGTTATATGTTGGAAAATAGGTTACTGAACCATTGCAAATTCATAGCGCTGGCCGTGAATTCCATGACGTCATTTTGGCGCTGGTTGTAAGATCGTTTACTGATTGCAAGATAGGAACAGAATTGCAACTCGCGGTGGCCTCTGGCTTCTGCACCAGTTTAAAAAATTAAAGAAATTAAGACATAGAAAATAGTGCAGCCTCGAAATGAAGTGAGCCGCATCTAGCGATCCTCTCCTCTTTGGAGAGAAGGGAGGAGCTGTCATCATCAGGGGCCCTTTTGTCAATCCTCGCCTCTCCCACACTTTACCAAGGCTTTAGCTGTGCCCCTGGTCTGGGGGCAAGCGGTGGCTGCCTGTCAAGCTCAATCCAGTTGAACGTTTATGATAAGAAGATGAGGGCGATAAACCGCATCTCGGGGTGCTGGGTTCCTGTTTTCGCCATTCAGGCGTACCTATCTCGGTTGCTGTATGACTACCTGACCTTGAGGCACACAATGAATGTGCTTCAAAACAGCCAAACATATTCAATGTTTCGGCGCGGCAGTCACATTGATGTGGCCGTCGTTACGTTTGTGATTTCCCCACGGGAATATGCTTCAGGAACGCCTCTCGGCTGCTGGCGAAAACAAAGGATCCCCAGAGAAATGGACGTCTATGCCAAATATTTAGCCTTTTGCCGTACGCAAGTGGATGGGGCTCGGAACACGGCTGTTGTGCCATTTTCCGACGCATGTGTGCTTGCGTGGTAGTAAAACTCCCTCGGGATCTCAATAAATACTCGTTTTGCTGCTGTCCTCTTAGTCAATATTTAGAGGTCGGTAGCTTTACGCCCCCCCCCCTCCCCCCAACCCCCGAGGACCGCTGTTTGCCATTACCAAGCGCCGCCCCACACCCGGCCTTTAAGAAGGCGCCCCGGAGTCGCGTCGGAGGATTCAGGCTAGGCGGACACGTCCTGGAACGGTGGTGGTAATGCTGACCTTGCTCCGACTGCCGCTGCTGCTGCTGTTGCTGCTGCCGGACGCGGTGGAGCCAGGCGTCACCTCTCGGCTGTACCGCCGCCAGCCGGACGGTGGTGCCGCCGGGAGCGGTGAGCAGCGGCCGGGCCTGATGGCGTGCGCTGCCGCCTGCGGCCACCTGCCCAGCTGCACGGCGCTGAGCTGGCGGCCGGACGGCAGCTGCCAGCTCAGCGGCTGCAGCGGCCCGCTCGCCGCCGACCAGCCGGGCCAGCTCTGGTACAGCTGGTGGCCGGCCACCGTGCCGTCGCTGGCGCTCCGCGTCTGCTCGCGCTTTGTGGCCATCTCGGAGGAGAGCGGCGGCGGTGAGAGCGGTGACTACGGCCGCCGCCTGCCAGCGCCTCTTCAACCTGAGCGCCGCTGACGACAGCGCCTTCAGCGTGCAGGCGGAGGCGGACGCGGCACGCCAGCTGGCTTCGCAGCTGCTGGCAGACGGCGAGGTGGTCTGGACGCCCGTCAAGCGCGTCGAAACGTCGGTTATAACCAGTCTGGGCGCCTGCACCACGCACAGTCAGGCCGGTCTGGTGGGCGTTAGCTTCTGTTCCGCTAGCCACCGGTACACGTGCGTGTCGCCGCCGGCGGAGGCCTTCCTCCCCTAGCTGGGTGGTCGCCGCATGTGACACGTCCCTGCGCGCGCAGCGCACAGAGTCGGTCTGAATGGCTGGAGCACTGGCGACCCATACGCGGCGAGCGATCCGTCTCAAAAGTCACACGTCACGCTCACGCTGGTTTGTTGGGCTGCTGCTCTGCCTGCAAGTTGCTTTCTTTTCACAATGGGCGTGCCATGGAACATTCACACCTGTGCATACACTGCTCGCTGCAATACCATGGCTTCGTCTAGACGTTGAATACAATTACCGACACAGCACGTTGTGTCTGCCATCTCGCTGGCCGGTCGCGTCGTTGCGACGGGTTCCAAACGTCAGACACCGCCAAATTGATGACCGCGTGTCACGTGGTTGATGCGTGCCGCCCGGTTGGCTGTTCATTTGTACACTGTAGAGCGGCCTCGGCAACCGGCACGAAGGAACGGAAGATACGCCTGATTCTCACACGTACTTATTGTATACCTTTGGCGAGGCAAGGAATCACTTTGCCTCTCCCCCCCCCCCCCCTCCGGTGGTTTTCCGGAGTAACTCCCGAACAGTGCACCGCAGACACGCCAAACTTTACATAGCTGTGTGCAGTTGGATGAACGATATTTGACATAAAATTGGCATAACTCTTAAGATCGCTAACCTGCAGCAGGTTAAAGTCAGGCCATGGCTACGAGCCGACACACTTATCAGGGAAACTGTAAGCAGATGCGACAACGGCATTAGATAACTCAATATAAAATTTTGAGATGATTTGTTAGGCAATGGCAGCTTACTAACGATTGCAATTGATTATACTGACCTTGGGCGAGATATTGAAGTTAAAACTAAACAAATGCAAATCGAGGTCAAAACAAGACAGGCTTTCTTGACAAGTTGTCGTAAGAGGTAGCTTTTTGGAGCTCTGTCTGAATTTCTCGGTCACACGGGCGT